AGGTAGTGCCGGCAAGTGAGGGAGCCTGCCTGTAAACACTGCTCCCTCACTGTATACACAGCTCCTCTCCTCTCTTGCCTTTCTCTGCCACCCCTTCCATCTACAGTACACACAGCCCCCCCAACACCCCTTTCCCTGGTCAAATAGTAAGTCCACCCTTGATTGGGGACCAGGTCTCTTGGAACAGTTGTGCCCCTGCAGATGCCCGGGCCCCCTACATTGTTATTGGTTGTCCCCCCTGATGGCAGCCCTGATTATAACCTATGTATTAAGAGCTGAAAAGTAACCTTGCTTAAGTTTTAGGCATACAAAAGAGAGCTGTAGACAGTTTTTTTTGGCAAATAGTGCAGAAACAAAAAATGCTTGTGTCCAGGGGCGCACTGCCCGAGGGTCTGGGGTCAGTAGGGGGCCCCATGAGATGCCCCTGGTACCTTTTTCATAGGCTTTTTTGAGTTTGGGCAAGGACACAGGGGCCCCATGGTCCCCTATTGCCCGGGGGTCCCATGAGTTGTCAGTCCACCCCTGCTTGTATCTTGAACTTGATGATAAAAATCAATAAACAAAAGATAGGAAACATTTAACAAAAGTCTCCAGCAAGTCTACTTCATGTATTGATGTTGGCAATTCTGGACTTTCTGAGTTCCCATGAAAACAAATAAACAAACAAACAAACAAAAAAACACAAAAAAAAAGCAGTGCAATTGGCCCAAGGAGTCATGAATGACATGACCAAATGTAGTTTTTGTCATTTAAATTGAGTTTGCATACTCCAGTATCCAGCAGTAGGATTCAGTGGAGGTGGAGATTATGAACATTTGATAAGGAATATAATAATACCCAATATGACTGCGTTGCAATAATTTTAAATAATCAAATGCATCATTAATATACCTATAGCCCTCCTCACGCATCTTAGCAGCAGGCCAAAACTCTGTTCTTGCTGATCTTGTGCTGTAAATAAAACAAAGCTTATTTTATATTTATTGTGCAGCAAATTGACTCACAAAATCTTTAAAAAAGTAAGCTATGACCTCAATAGGATTGCAACCAATGTCTTTGATTATGTGTTTCTGCTCCACACCTGTAGGATTGTGCCTCTCTGCTTAGAGGCTGCCAAGAGACTGCTACCAATCAGGGTAAACTAGGTTAAAAGTAAAGATGGAATTAAAATATATGAAAATCAAGACAATGTAAAACATTCTTATTCTGGCTTCTAGCAAAATAAGTAAGAGTCAAGAGAGGATTGATGGGCCAGTGATTGGCAATGCCATATTTTTAAGGCCCCTGAGTTGCCACAGGACCAAATTTGTGTAATGACCACTTCTTAAAGCCTACAGGACAAGCACCTCCTTAATGTGCTGCCCAATATCAATTGCTTTTTATATTGACTGACAGTGATTGAATATTGACCCACTGCATTGCCTCTTTCAGCAACTTTCTCCCAGAATCTCTTACTCACAGCTGTTGTGGTTTGGGAGTACATGGCTGTATAGAGTCTAGACCAGTCCTGAGCAAAGGTTTCTGTGAGGACCGCGTTTTGCTTGAAAAAGAATCAGAGATTCTTGATGATCCTTCCTTGGGCTCAAAAGAAGGGCATTTTGAGGACCAAGAGTTGCTGATGTATCCTCATGTCCCTCAAAATCCACTTCTTGCCTGTAGGCGTATTTCAGCATAGAGTATCCTTTCAAGGTGGGAGAAGATTTGGGTCCTGTCGGCCCTTCCTCCTTGGGCCCCCCCCTTCTTGTTCTAGGTTTCTTTTTAGGAGCAATTTTCTGAGGCAAATTAGTGTTGAACTAGTCTAACGGAAAAAGCTTTTCCGGTCTGAAGGTAAACGTGTAGCAAGGTTGCTGCTTCATGCCTTTTTTAGTTCTAATGCAAAGTAGTTAAATAGATTGGGTTTGAGATAACGCCAAATGTCAATTGTGTGTTTATCATCTTGCTAGGCTTAAGGATGTGAGAAATTAAATAATCGCCCATTTTTAGTAAAAAAAAAAAACAGTATAAAAAATGGAATTATTAAAACAGTGTTTTGACAAATTAAGTAGACCAAGATGTGTAAATTTCATATTGGTTGTTTATGAATGGATGGTGAATGTTTTGAAGTTGGAATCCACACATGTACATTCCTAGACCATGACCGATGAATTTGTGCATGCCTCTATTTTCACAACAGCTGGGTAAGGCAGTGCTTCATGTATTCAGGAAAGTCTGTGTACAGGCACACACAAGGCTCATAAGGGCTGACGATGATTTGATGATTTCATGATGCACTTAGTAGCAGCATCAGATGCTGTGGTTGTGGAAGAGTATAAAACTAACAGTCCTCTTGGTCTGTGCCTAGTGAGCATTTTTGTATACCACCTTGAGTATCAATATCTCCTGCAGATACAGGCTAAGCAGTGGAGCTATTTTTCATCTGTACATCTTTATTGTTGAAATGATCAGCCTCAATACTACATGCAGTCAAGCAGTTCATATGATGACAAAGTTGCTAGCAGCCCTTTAGACTTTAGGTTTCCAATCCTTTCAAAACTACTCTTTGAATAGCTAAGCCAATTAGCAGTGTCCTCAATGTTTATATAGGTCACTGTTGTAATTGTTGAACTTGGAGGGATGTCTTTTTTTGGGGGAGAGATGTCTTCCTAAATGTCTTGGTGCCATCATCAAATGCACACATGTGGCTTTGCAGACACCCAGGTAGATTAAAGTCTACTGAAGAAACTGCAGGCAGTACCTTTCACTGAATGTCCAATTCATCTGTGATGCTAAACAGAAGATAATTAATAGACACTCAGGTTTGCAAGGTTTATGACATGCCTCTTACATCTTTCATCACACAGCTCTGTATAGAATATTTAAAGAAAGGAAAATGTCTGGCTTGTTGGTAAAGTTTGGTTTCAGAATTTTGTTTAAAAATATTAGGGAGCATTTGTGTAGAAAATATTAAAGATCATTAAATAAGTTTACTCAGTGTTCACAATGACTAAATCTATCCACACAAATTAGCATCAAGTTTGGGACATGCTGTGCCAATTTAAAGACAATTTGTTTGTTTGTTTTTTTTTAAGAGGGGGGGTGTATGATGTGCCCTAAATTTGGTTCCCTTATTGTGTTGTCATGTATTATGTTGTTTTTTTTTCTGGTCTAAGTGATGCAGTCTATGGGCAGCTCCCATGCCTCATGACATCAATCAGGGGGTTAACTGGTGTACACTTCTTGGACGGCTGCCAGAATCAGCAGTGCTTGTTGTGTGCTACTGAAGCTGTCATCTCAGATATTTTAATGCTTCTGGATCCTAGGGGAAGCTTCCCTCAGGTCCTATGCAAGATTTGATTCCATAAAACAGATATATTGGAGGTGCAAGGGACTAATAGCATTAATGACTTGATTATAACCATATTATGCAAGAATTTGTTTGTAAAAAGAACAGAACCCTTCCCATTCCTTTTCCTTAATTTGGAACGTTTCTCTGTTAGGCCAGGGTCACTATGGACATTGGTATCACCTAGATATCCACACATGTGGATGCTTTTGAATGTTTGTTTTATTTTATGTTACTGCAGTTGTGTCTGTTTTTTGTGATATTTTCCTTGGCGATTCTTCTTTTTTGTAATGAATAAGGATGATGTTCAGGTCTAAAATGGGTTAGAGGTGAACCGAATATGATCAAGTTACATGGCTCCTATAAACTAGCATAGGATTTTTTTTCCACCTGAATTCTTTATAACTTTAATCCATTGCAAGGGCATTTGAACGTAGGTCATCTGTTTAACCCATTCGCTGCCAGAGCCGTTTTTCTTTTTTTTCCACATGTTTAAGAAAAAAATTTAAGCCTGAAGATTACAAAAAAGCCTCAAATATTATATATTTTCTGAAAGCAGACACCCAAAAGAATAAAATAGTGGTAGTTAAAATTTTTTATGTCACAAGATATTACCTAAAAGGTCTAGGAAATGCCAAATTTTGGTACAAAACACACTAAAGTGAATTTTAGGGCAAACAGATGCAATAAATTACCCACATTTGTTGGGTCACAGCAAGAAGGGGAAGAGAACCGTTGTGTGTGTTGGCCCTGCGATGTTGGCCCCAAGCATGCAGATGGGCATGTGGAGCCTGGAATACATACTGGGAGCCTGCTGTCACCATGGGGAGAGGGGGCGCTGCTAGCATTGATGTATGGGAGCAATCAGGCAACAGTGCAGCCACCAGAATGCTTCCACCTGACACGCAAGAGTCTGCCTGGCAGTTTTATACACAATCCTGGTGGCTGCAGCCACTGGATTGTGTGTAAACCCCCCTTCCCCCGCTGTCAGGTCCTTACAACATATGGACCTGGCAGCGAGAGGGTAATGGAAACCTTGTGCAAGCCCCCCTCTTGAAAAGGAGGGCACAGAGCAACCATAGAGTCTGGGTATAGGAAACTACTGTAGAGAAAGGACAAGGAAAGCTGACAAACTATACAAGGAAAGATTTGGGTCAGTTAGTAAGCCATGCCTTAATTCTAGTCAGTTTTATGCAGCTGCATCATCTACAGTTTGTTAATGAGAGTTTGAGAGAAACTCTCTGGACTCCTACATCATTTTACAAAAATACCTATATACAGTATATATATATAAATGAGTACACCGCTGTTGAAAAGTAAGATTTTAATCAATATTGCAATGAACACAAGAACAATTTCCGAAGTTTTTACAAAACGGAGTTCTATAGAACATTTGTTTAGCTCAGTACATGAAAGTAAGGTTAACAATATAACTTAGATTACAAAATCTTCAGTTTTACTCAAATTAATTGATGCAAAAAATGAATACACCCCACAACATAAACTACATTTAGTATTTTGTATGACCTCCATGATTTGTAAGGACAGCACCAAGTCTTCTAGACATGAAATGAACAAGTTGGCGACATATTGCAACAGCTATCTTTTGCCATTCTTCACGAACTACTTCTTTTAGAGCCTGGATACTGGATAGAGAGTGATGCTCAACCTGTCTCTTCACAATTCCCCATAGATGTTCGATTGGGTTCAGATCAGGAAACATACTTTGCCACTGAATCACTTTCACCCTGTTCTTCAGAAATGCAACAATGGCCTTAGATGTGTGTTTTGGATCAATGTCATGTAGAAAAAGTGCACAACGACCAAGGTAGCATCTTCTCTTTTAATATAGAGCAGTAAATCTGTGAATTCATGATACCATTAATGAAATGCAGCTCCTCAACACCAGCAGCACTCGTGTAGCCCCACAGAAGGACACTGCCACCATCATGTTTCACTGTAGGCACCATGCATTTTTATTTGTACTCCTCATCTTTTTGATGCCATATAATTTTGAAGGCATCAGTTCCAAAAAACATTTCTCTTGGTCTCATCACTCCAGAGTACAGAGTCCCAGTAGTCTTCTTCTTTTTTATCATGGGCCCTGGCAAATTCTAGCCTGGCATTTTTGTGTATGGCGTTTAGAAGAGGCTTCCTTCATGGACAACCCCCCCGGACATGCCCTTCCTCTGCAGTGTATGCCATATTGTGTCAAAGGAAACAATCCCTCCAGTTTGACTTCCTAATTCTTTAGCTAACTGCAGGGAACTTGCATGGTGATTTTCTTCAACCCTTCTCATCAGAAGACAGCCCTGTTGTGTTAACTTCCATTGATTGCCTGGATGTCTCTGTGAGATGGTTGCAGTTCCATCTGTGTTACATTTTTGTATCACTTTTGCTACAGTATTCTGACTGATAAGTAAAGCTTTGCTGATCTTGTATCCTTCACTTTTCTTGTGTAAAGATATGATATTCTTACTCAGGCCTTGTGACAAGTATCCTCCATGTTGTGCCATTGCTGACAACATGAAATGGGAAGGGGTTTTCTTTTTTAAGTAACACCCTTTTATAATCAACTGTCTGCTGGACACTTGTTTAATGAATAATTAGACTCACCTGTAGTTGAATTCTTGTTAATTAGGATTTTGTTGTCTAAAATTTAGCTTTGCTCATAAGCTTTTCTTTGGGGTGTATTCATTTTTGCAACATGGTCTTGAAATAAGTTTTTAGGAAAAATACTTTTTTTGTGTGCAAATTAACAAATCTTGTTTGCAATCAATGGCCTACATTTGTGGGAGTATTTTGTAGTATAGTAACCCCTAGAAAATGCTGATGCTGATGCTGAAAGGAAAGGTTTTCTGACAAATCTGTTGGGGTGTACTCATTTATGCAGATATATATATATATATATATATATATATATATATATATATATGCACACTATATTGCCAAAAGTATTTGGACACCCCTCCATATCATTGGATTCAGGTGTTCCAATCACCTCCATGGCCACAGATGTATAAAAGCAAGCAGCTAGGCATGTAGACTGCTTCTAAAAACATTTGTGAAATAATGGGTTGCTTTCAGGAGCTCAGTGAATTCAAGGGTGGTACCATGATAGGTTGCCACCTGTGCAATAAGTCTATCCATTAAATTTCCTTACTATTGAATATTCCACAGTCAACTGTTAGTGGTATTATAAAAAAAAGTGGAAGCAACTGGGAACAACAGCAACTCAGCCACCAAGTGGTAGGCCACGGAAAATGACACATCATCGAGGTCAGCGCATACTGAAGTGCACAGTGCGCAGAAGTTGCCAACTGATTGCAGAGTCAATAACTAAAGACCTCCTAACATCTTGTGGCCTTCAGATTAGCACAACAGTGCATAGAGAGCTTTAGGGAATGGGTTTCCATGGCCAAGTAGCTGCATCTAAGCCTTACATCACCAAGTGCAATGCAAAGTGTCATATGCAGTGGTGTAAAGCACACCACTACTGGACTCTAGAGCAGTGGAGACTTGTTCTCTGGAGTGACGACTCACGCTTCTCTGACTGGCAATCCGATGGAAGTGTCTGGGTTTGGCAGTTGCCAGGAGAATGGTACTTGCCTGATTGCATTGTGACAAGTGTAAAGTTTGGTGGAGGGGGGATAATAGTGTGGAGTTGTTTTTCAGGAGTTGGGCTTGGCCCCTTAGTGCCATTGAAGGGAACTCTTAAGGCATCAGCATACCAAGACATTTTGGCAATTTCATGCTCCCAACTTTGTGGGAACAGTTTAGGGATGGCTCCTTCCTCTTCCAACATGACTGCACACCAGTGCACAAAGCAAGGTCCATAAAGACACGGATGAGCATGTTTGGGGTGGAGAACTAGAACTTGACTGGCCTACAAAGAGTCCTGACGTCAACCCAATAGAACACCTTTGAAATGAATTAAAGTGGAGACTGCAAGCCAGGCCTTCTCGTCCGACATCAGTACCTGACCTCACAAATGTGCTTCTGGAAGAATGGTCAAACATTCCCATAGACACACTCCTAAAACTTGTGGACAGCTTTCCTAGAACAGTTGAAGCTGTTCTAGCTGCAAAGGGTGGGCCAACTCAATATTGAACCCTACAGACTAAGACTGGGATGTCATTAAAGTTCATGTGCGTGTAAAGGCAGGGGCCCAAATACTTTTGGCAATATAGTGTGTGTATATATATCCCGGGTGACCATGAACAGGCTGGCAGTGAGCATGCGGCCTCTCTTTCAGCCATATGTCTGTAAGCATTGGGAGGGTACCTTACAATGGGAAACATATCAAAGTTCCTCCTTGCAAAATGCTCTTGTCCAAATGTTGAGGGACAATGGCCTCTTATACACCTCTGATGACCCAAGAAAGGAGGTGAGGGTAATATGGGGAAGAAATAGTGGAATCTGGAAGCCACCTTTATAATAAATGGGGACATGATATCAGCACCCAGTGGAATGAGTACAAAAGTACATTAATACACATTCTCACAAACAGTTCAAAGTAAGTACATACTAATCCTGAAAAAGTCCCATGTTTTACTATAAGTCCCCCCTATATTACCTCTTGCCACTTCTTCTTGCAAGGTACCCCCACCCCCCTCAGTATTGAGAGGCATATGGCTTTATCTGGTACAGGAAAGGGATGGTAATTTGCAATCCCCTTCCTGGCCAGAAAGAGTGCATGTTTAAATAAGGGTCTGGTTGATATAGTAAGGGGAACCCCACATTGGTTTTGTTACCATTTTCTTTCTTTACTACACTCAAACTACAATTAATTTTATTGGGTTCTTGCTTTTTGTAAGTCAAGCTAATTGTAACACAAAACAATTCCTTAGCCAAATATGCACTCTGTAATTGACAGTCTGTGAAAATCATACTTATTTCATAACACCACAATTATATGTATGTCTAAGCATGTTATTAAAAGGATTTGTCCTTCACATGAAAAGACCCTTTACCTGCTATGTTATCTTAATGAAATATCCATGCTTTTTTTACATTAGATGCTTGCTAGCTCTAAAAATGGCCAAAATTACTAACAGGATTCACTTCTCATAGACTTTAATAGGGTTTTCAGCTATGTCTGGATTCGTAGAACTTCAAACAGGATTTGCTGAACTGAACTTGCGCAGATTCACTCTTCCCTACTCAACACCATAGCCTGGATTTTAGGAATCAGGGGCGGACTCACCATTTGGAAACTCGGGCACTACCCGAGGGCCTGGGGTCAGTCGGGGGCCCCATGAGATGCCCCTGGAACCTTTTTCATAGGCTTTTTTGCATTTGGGCAAGGACACAGGGGCCTCATGATCCCCTATTGCCCTGGGGCCCCTTGAGTTGTCAGTCCGCCCCTGTTAGGAATGGCATTAAAAATTTGGATTGAACACTACTGTTTTATAGGAGTCAAAATATGGTAGAACTACAAAATAATCTGGCAATGGAAGAGAAGTCAAGGAAAGTGAATGTGCCCAAATCAATGTCCTGCTTGCAAAACAGCTAAAACATTTACAAACATTTGAGGGCCATTTTGGAGAAAGGAGAGATGTTCTCACTCACCCAATCTCGACACTAGAGGTTGTATGCACCTGTGTATTCTTACAACCTAAGCAAATGTTTTTGTTTTTTTTTTAAACACAGCAGTTGTACTACTCCTATGGAAAAACAGGAACATTGAGTAACACTGTGCACATTGCAATTTCATGCATCTTTTTAATGTATTCAGCATTTGTCTTGCTCAGCTAATCCCTGATTCCCCAGCTCAATTTTTAAGAACAGCTTTATTTATTCTAGACATTTCTAAAAATGTTAAAGATGATTCAGGAGACTAAAACAACAGGTAACATCATATGCATTTGTTCACTAAGTTCATTTGCCAAGCTGTGTAACATTCCTTCTTCTGGGGTTTAGGAGTGGCTCTATGACCAAATTCATGTTTACTTTTACCATTCTTCTCAATATTATGTTCTAGAGCATCTGTAGCCAAAAATCCCCAGCATAGACAAAGGTTTAGAGAATAGCTTCTTCTTTTTTTATTCAGAATAGATTGAGTATACCTTTTTTTTTTCATAGCTACCTTTTATGTCATGGTGAAAAAAAATAGACGATGGAAGTGGAATTTAAAAAAGTGTCACTTGTCAAGTAGCATAATTCTTAGAACCACTTGTCAGCTTCTGTGACATCTTTCATCAGATTCACTCCGGGAAGCTGAAGTATATAGAGGTTGCAGATGCTTGCTTAAAAGAACCTTTTGCATATAACAAAGGCTACAAGTACAGCACAGGAAGGGGAATGACAAAGAGAATGAGTGCAAATATCAAATTCAAACACATAATAAACTGTAAACAATTGCTTAGACAAAGTAATGCTTTTGGAGTCCTGAAAATTAATTTACATTATTGCTAAATGTGCTGAAAGGTTTAAATGGCAAAACATATATGCATATTTTTGATCTGATGCTAAAAAGACCACAGCTAGTCTGTAATTTAAATGGTCATTCATGAACACCAGCAAAACAGAAGAAATCCCTTTCTGTGAAGTTATGTCTTATACAATAGTTTCACAAATTAGATATTATAAGACAGGATTCTACAGAATATTTTTTTCAGTGTAATATGTTAGAGTTTAGAGCTGAACTCAAGAATGTGATAAAAAAACAACCATTACAGTATCCCCCCCCCCCCCCCCCCCCCCCACTGCAATTGTTGAATGTTTGCTTAGTCTAGAGCAGGGTTCTCAACCAGGGTTCCGTGGAACGCTAGGGTTCCTCCAGAGGTTGTCAGGGGTTCCTTGAGCAATGAGCAATTTTTGCCTCTCAGGTAAGTTCCCACTGACACCATTAATCTTTTTAGCAATCTGTAAAGGGGTAATTCTTCCCAATGGCCACAAGTGTAAGAAGAATTCTCACCTCTGACTATCACACTAATGTATCATGAATTGTAGATAGTCATTTTTAGCAGGGGTTCCCTGAGACCGGAAAGTTATGTCAAGGGTTCCTCTACATTGAAAAGGTTGAGAAAGGCTGGTCTAGAGTGTACAGAAAGCAGCCTTCTGGATTCAGCAGGTTTCCTCAGCCTGTGCAACTGGTCCCCCCAGCTTCTTCTTTAGGGTGTTTGGACTGCAGTCACATGTTTTCCCTCCACATACATGCAGTGTCATAGCCCCTCATTGCATGTGATAAGATTGAGGCCCCACTCACAGACTAGAGCTTCAAGGCAAGAAGAAGAGTTTCAGAGCCTGTGAGGGGCGAAAAGGTCAGTAACACATCCTTTAAAGCTCCCCCTAGACTAAACAAGCTTGTAACTCTTGCAGTATAAAAAGGCCCCCGTTTCAAGGTTTGTTTTGTCACACTCAACTTATTTTATAACAGGAGAACCACTTTAAAGCTAACTATGAAGAAGAACTCATCCTCTACATATATAGACATACTCTATATGGCAGGCCCTACATAAAAGTTTGTCCTGACACAAAGCAAAATGGGGGCAGTCCAAAGGAGAACCCTTGATATGATACATTACCCAAATGAGAGATCTCTGATAAATGAATTAAAGAGACACTGTCACCTTGCAAATGCAGGACAAATCTATCTGCAAAGCTCTCCTTCCACAAACAATTATGTTTACTTTGCCTGCACTGTCCCTGCTGTTCATTTCTCTGTCACAGCCAACAGTCAACAATGATTGGCCCTTTTTAATATGGGGGGGAGCATGTTAGATGCTCCCCTGTGACAGTGTTGGGACCTAGAAACCAATTGCATAACTGAAGGAGTCACATTACTGCTCATTTAGGTCATGAACACCTTAATTTAGGCATTGGTTGCAATGGAGGAAATAGAGGAAAGGGAGCACAGTAAAGGTGTTTATTGCAGCAAGCATGGTATTTTTGTGACAGCAGTTAGCACTATGATTTGTACTTCTTTTTGAGCTACTGTTGCTTTTGGAAGAAACAGTAGATGAGAATCCTTTCAAGATTGTATGTTGTAATTGATGAGGAGTGGTGGGATCCCCACCTTGATTACTTGATTACAATTGTAATGTGACTCCTTCTGTTATGCAATTGGTTTCTAGGTCCCAACACTGTCACAGGGGAGCATCTAACATGCTCCCCCATATTAAAAAGGGCCAATCATTGTTGACTGTTGGCTGTGACAGAGAAATGAACAGCAGGGACAGTGCAGGCAAAGTAAGCATAATTGTTTGTGGATGGAGAGCTTTGCAGATAGATTTGTCCTGCATTTGCAAGGTGACAGTGTCTCTTTAATTCATTCTCAGAGATCTCTCATTTCTTTTATTGTAAGAGGTCTATTTTTGAAAGTGAGCACATTAGGCACACAGATCTCTGAATGTACCTTATGAATATTACTTCATATTTGTTGGGAATCTTACTGAAGATAGAATTTTGAAGACATTTTTGAATGGTGTGGTCTTTTGTATTTTGGGACTATTACATAAATATATGACATGGTTTTTATATATATTTATGTTTTGCCAAGTTTAAGGTATAGGTACAGTATTTATTTTGAGTTATTAGCACTGCAGTGTTATTTTGTTTTGCCTTTTGAACTTGGGTGTGAAATATTTTCCTGTGCTGGTTAGCTTTAATTATTATATTATTGGTGTTAGGCATATGCAGTTTTTGTTATTATATCCTTATACTATTACTTTCCTTATTTGGGCAAGGTGACAGTGTGTTTTTAAAAGGTACTCTATATGGAAAAAGCTGTTTAATTAATGAAATACATAGAAATAACATTTAATTTCACCACCAACTTCATCTCAAAATAACAACCATACGGTCCTCTTTGCTCCTGCCAAAGCCTCCTGCTCTCTCTCTTCCTCATCATCTCCTCTCATGGTCACATTCAGAACTTCTCAGATGCCTCTCCTATTCCCTTACCCTGACACGTACATCTCCCTATACGGTTATTTCCTTTTGTATCACTTCCCCCTCCCTTTAGATCAGCGGTCACTAAATGGTGGACAGTGGTCCAAAAACAGACCCACCAGCGCTGCGGCCTGGACCACCAGCCCGCAATGACAGATCCGCCACTGAGCAGGAGAATCATCATGGCAACATGACATCACGTGTGTGCCTCTCCCCTTTCAGCTCACCGTCTCTCCGGCTCTCACTCCCTGCCTGTACACAGGAGTCCAGAAAGGATCCCGCCACAGCTTCTGTCTGCCCTCAAGGTAGGGTGTAGTCTTACAGGGGCAATCTGATGAGCACATTGAATGTTAAGGTTCAATCTGATGGTCGCAACATAGAATGTGCCCATCAGAGTGCCCCTTAACATAACATATGACCATCAGACTGCACCTTAATATAAATATGCCCATCAGAGTGCCCCTTATTTTATGTTAAGGGACACTCTGATGGGCACATTTTATGTTAATAGTACTCTGACTGGCACATTTAATGTTAAGGTGCACTCTGATGGGCACAACAAATATCATGTGCCCCTTAACATAAAATGTGCTCATCAGAGTGCCCCTTAAAATAAATGTGCTCATCAGCGTGCCCCTTAATATAAATGTGCTCACCAGAGTGCCCCTTATCATAAACATGCCCATCAGAGTACCCCTTAACATAAAATGTGCCCATCAGCATGCCCCTTATTTTATGTTGAGGAGCATTCTGATGAGCACATTTTACGTTACGGGCACTCTGATGGGCACATTTTATGTTAAGGGGGCACAAATGGGCACATACTGTGGAAAGGGGCACTCTGATGGGCACATGTGATGGAAAGGGGCACTCTGATGAGGAATATATGATGTAAAGGGGCACTGTGATGGGGAAATATAATAGAAAGGGGTACTTTGAGTGTAAGGGGGCACTCTGACGGGAAAACCTGATGTAAGATGGTAATGTGATGGGGATATCTGATGTACAGGGACACTCTGATGGGGACAACTGATGTAAAGGAGCACTCTGATGAGCACCCCTGATATGATGGGAATACATGATGTAAAGTTGCACTCTGATAGTGACACCTAATGTAAGGGGGCACACTGATGGGCACACCCTATTTAGACCTCGGCCAGAAGAAAATTTTAGTGACCGGACCTCCCTGAATTTTAATTCAATACCCCTGCTTTAGATTATAAGCTTTCAGGACTTGAGCCCGCCTAACCCTTTGTCGGGAATTGTATTGCAACTGTGCTGTATCCCTTTATTTTATACAATTCTGTGCAAACTGTTAAATTCTGTAAAACATAATAACATTCAAGCATCAATGGTGATTTCCAAGAAACTAGAAAACTTATTCAAACCCCTCTATGAAGTTACATGCAAAGCTCTGCACCTCCCTTGTCCTCCTTGTAAATGGAGGACTCACCAATTTGCTTTTGTTTACTGTTCTTTGTCAACTTCAGCTATGAAAATACATTGGTTCTTACACAGAACCATAGCATTTTACTGCAATCCTGCATATCGGATCTCACCAACATGTTGTGCTGTAGGACAACGCGCAAAGGTTCTTGATAAAATTCAAGATGTCACCCGTAAAAAGAGGAATACCATACTTAATAATGCTGAACACTGGGAATGGTGCCCCTTCCTCCACACTCCAAGGGCTAAATGCTTATTAAGTCTAGGGGGTTGAGGTAAAGGCTATAAGACCCTATTCCTTGCTCTCCTGGCTGCCAATAACATGGGCCCCTGGGAAGAAACCCTCTCTGTCTCTATGTCAAGGACATGTAGTGTGGTTCAGGATGGGGGGGGGTATGTTCTCTGCCCTAATCTTTCCAATCCAGCCAGACTGCAAGCTTAGACAAGGGTCTATAGATGGGTGATGTGAACTTTTGCGCCTACTATACAATATAAATAAACAAATAGGTACTGCTGCCGACACCAATTGTGTTCCCACAGTATCAACTGAATAAATAAATTAATTAAAGGTGATGTAGCTCTGATAAAGAACATCAGTCAGTATAGCAAACAATACAGAGTATAAGCACAGTTTATCCACCTGTATTGTTTATAAGTACTGATTGATGTTCATTAGCAGTGCTACATCACCTTTAATTAATTTAATTAATTAATTAACTTAGACAAGGGTCTATTTAGGGGAACCCCATGCCATGCTCATATGGCCTGAGAGAAAAAAAACATACAAAAAAGGTGTGGGGGTCCCCGTTAAAAGCCTTAATAGACCCTTATCTTGGATAAGGGTCCAGTATGGAATCTGAGATGGGACCTGACACAAAAAAAAAAAAAAAATATGGGGTTGGCTCTGATTTTACTGATTTTTATTGAAGTTTGTTAAAATCCCTGCAATATACATTGGTTACCGAATTCATATTGTAATTTTCTATTTTGGAACATTAGAACATAACAATATTCAAAGACAATTTCTTATCCATATTTTAAACCTTTCACAGATAGAAAAATATGTTGAATGCAACCTTTAAATTCCCTCATAATTAACATGTAAAGATTGACTAATACTGTCTTTGGCTTAAAGGGTAACTAAAGGCAAAACTTTTTTTTTTTATTTATTTTTTTTTAGTTTTAGAGTGGAGATGGATTAGAACACAGTTTTTACTACTGTCTATGCCCCCATTAGAAAGATTACCTTTTCTACTTGTTCTGTTTACCGTCATCATAAAAAGTGAAAGTAAAAGAAAATCCTAGATTTTGGATTGACATCAGAACAGTAATATGGGGGACATTTTTCATTAGGAACACTAGTTTTGTGACCCTAATGGCACATTAGAGTTCCTTCACATTGGAGGGATTTCCTTCCATTTACTGTTTTGGCTATAGGACAGGAAGCAAAGGGAAATCTCCCTTAAGAGAAAAAAAAAACACAGGTAGGGGTTATAAGCCTCTGGTACTCTATCCAAAAAAAGTTGTGCCTTTAGTTACACTTTATATTGGAATGAAATCTAAATACAATTAGACTGATGGACTTTTGAAATAAAATACAGCAAATCATTTTGATATATTTCCTTATATTCAGTAGAAAACAGCAATTGTTCTTTATGGTCTTCATAGGCTATGAGTGATTTCTTTTGTATTGTAAGTTTTTTGTGACAGAAATTAATTTTTTCATAAGTGTTTGAATTGTGAAATCTAAAAATGGAATCTTTAGTGTAAGGTCATTACATGTACAGTACCTATCAGTTTCAATTCTTTTCTTTATATGATCCCTTAACTGGAAATCTGAAAGTGATGAGTGAACCAAGCAAAGATTGTTTGATGTTCACAGAAAATTTTAAAACAAGTGTCAATCCTGAACCTACACCCAAACCTCACTGAAGTCTATGGGAATATTGTAATGTTTTATGGAATTTTTTTAAAGCCAACTGCAAAGCTTTTGGTGAAAAATAGCATTGTAGCTGATCACTGCCTTGTACAAAGTTCTCCAGAAGAGCAATATGAAAAATACACAATGTTTTAATAAACATGCTTGGGTGTCTCAAAATTGTTCGTGAAGTAGCACACTTGCACAAAGTACTCCAGCAAAAATTCTATTAAAAAAAATGCCTCTGAATGGCATTTCTATTTTGGCCAGATTTTATTAGTAATGTAAAACAAATGATTGGGGATTCCTGGTAACTTCATTGACAACATACTGTATATGACAGGTCAGGAGTATAGATGACAGCCAAACAGTTCAAAAAGTGCTACATGTGCAGTTCAGTAATAGATACCACACACCATGAGCAGATCAGGCTAGTTGGTACTTGTGGTGTACTACTGCAGATGTCAGCAGGGCAGCAAATGCTGGTACATAGACAGAGCAGGTCAGAGAAGGCTTGAGAAGTTTGTGAAGTACAAAACAAACAGAAAATCAAAAACAGAAATCCTCTTGCATGTAGCAGAAATACCATTCAATAAAGATTCCCTTACCATTGGGTTCCTCTCTCTGTCTCCTGTCATGTTTTGGTATTGAAACACTGGGGATGTGAGGGATAGGGATCATTGGGTATCTTACCCAATAGGAGGAAGTCCTAGAAAATATAAACCTAGGGAGAACGGGGTAGAAAGCATAATAAAGTAGGATTATAAAGGAGTATCAAGAAAGGGGGGTGGGGGCTGTCATCACTTAAGGGAGAAACGAGATAAAAAAAAGAGCATGAAGAAGGAAGGAGAGTAATCCACCCCACAGGGGTCAGGGAGTACAGTAGGTGCCCACAGGGAAAGCAAGGCAGGGATGGAGTGTAGTTTGGGAAAAAAAGTGGGCGTTAAGATAATTGGACAAGTAGATAATCAAATAAGGGAGAAGAGGTAGGGAAGGCAAGAATGAAAGAGAAGCTGAACAAGATAAGGAAATGGGGTGGACAATGGAAGAAGAATGCCATCCATCCAAGACAGGAAACATGTTAGCTCATAGTGAGGTGGTGTGCCCCAACTATAAAAAGCCAATATATAGTTAATCTTCCAAACAGAAGAGAGTATATGGAGGTCTGTATAGGAGACAGAGCTAAATGCACAAATCAAAGTCAGTGATTTATTCATCCTATTTGGGAAGGGAGGGATGTTAAGTAGCATGGGTAAATCTTTTCAGATGTGGCATTAGAATGGGATCTTTGATATTAACGATAACAAAAACATACCAAAGCCAAGTATGGCAGGAATACAGCATATGGGGGTAAAATTTCTCAATGACCAAAACAAAGCAAAGATGTTCACAATGTAAACCAGTTGTTACATGCAAATAGCTATAAAGATGTTCATAAAACATCATTATCTCCTGTCTTGCTCAAAGTAATAAGATATTTACATAACACGTTGTAAAGCAAGAGGCAGACACTGAACATGGATCATGCTGGCATTCATTCTCAACAGGGAGATTATCCGAACATCTAATCTGAAGCAAGATAACACACATGTAATCAGTCATGTGACAGCCCCAATGCAAGGTCTCCATTCTAAAATCCAAGATCCTTGTGCCAGAGTAAACAGGTCAGCATGCTCACATCAAATAAGCTCTGTTGTCAATCTAAAAGCTAAATCATAAGGGTGCACTATTATCAAGGCAAATACCTTTTTCAGCTCCCGGGGGATCAAACTTTGGCTGTTTGGGTATTAACACAAATGCCTGAACAATTATTTGTTTGGCGAGAACTGAACATCATGTATAATAGTGGTATTACTACCATAATTATACTTGACATTTAAATAAAGACTAAGAAACAATACTGGTCTGTCCCTGGTCACTGATTAGTGAGACAACCCAAATTGTAACTTGCTTATAGCACCAATACATCAATACATAAAACTGCGTGAATCATAAGTAATGTGACCAACAGTAACAGCTCATATACTCCAAATATTAATCAGTGGCACAGCAATGCTCGCAAGTATATACTGTATATTCAGCGTCCGTGTGTTGCATAATCTCCAAAATGTAAATAGAGTTGTGCCCAAATTAAAGTGTGAAAGGAACACCACCAACTTTGTGCTCACAGTCTTCTCACTTTCCTTATGACTCAAAAAGCAGGTCAGTTTATAGTGCTCTCTTGGTCCCCCAATTTCACCAGGCCCTCTGTCAGCATATACGTATATATATAATATTGGCCCTTTAAGAGTAGGGACCTCTCCATAGAATTGCTGTATGCACACTCAGACAACATGGATCGGGACAAGAGAATTGCCATAGTGTAGTACTGACAAAGGGCCTGGTGAAGTTGGGAGACTGGGAACTGAATTGATTTTTGAGTCTTACAAGGAAGGTGAGCGGACTGTGAGTGGAAAGGTCTGGCATACACATAGTTGGTGGTATTCCTTTCACATGTTAGTTTGGGCAAGGAAAAAAAAAGAAACAATTTTAGTTGCCAACAACTGATATTCAAGAGCACAAAGATACCTCCAAATATCCCCAAAATATATAGCAGACCGCCTTGGAGGGGGTCTCTGGGCTGTATTTTCAAAAACAATCTGTCAAAGTCGTTTGCCAGCAATTGTAAAACTTTGTTCCTTTGTATTTGTCACTGTTAATAAACCATGCTCACAGC